TATTGGTGCGTTTTGGATCCTTTGTGGGTGCAGCTGCAACTTCATGTTTGTAAAAACATTTGTCACCACGACGACATTTGCCCTGTTGAAAGTAAGTGCATGGGATCTTGGCCATCTCTTCCTTCGACTTTCTGTTGGGGGAACCACTTCTGCTACCACCTTTGCCCTTACCCTTCCTTTTGGGGGTGCCAGATCTTGAGGAATCTTTGACATGCTTGTAGGGACAGTCTTTACCCTTTTCGCACTTGCCATCCCTGAACTTGTAGCATATTTTCTCCCCTTTTCCGCTCTGGCTACGACCACGGGTTCGACCTCGATCGCCCTTTCCTTTGCCGCGATCTTTGCCCCCCTGAGCGGGTGCAGCGGGCTGAGGCTTTTCGGTCTGCTTGTTCTTTTCAACGATTCTGTTTCTGTTTGAACGGAGTCTTTCTCTATCCAAAAGATCACGAATGTTTCTCAACAAGAATGCATAAGACTTTTGTTCTGACTTTTCAGGAGCTCTGTCAAATGCTTCGATGTCATACTTCATCAATTGACATTTTCGGATTTGTCTGAGTAAGATGTCTCTGAGAACCAAATCATCTGGCGGGGTTTCCATGCCGGCAATTGTGGCGTCCCATCGGTTCAGAAACCTTCTAAGGTCCTCCACAGATTCTCCAGTGCGAACGACTCCAAGTAGGTCCTCGACGCGGTAGAGACTGCCAGCTTCCTCAGACGTCCTGAAGTAATCTTCAAACATCAAAAGGACTCTCCTACCTCTGACTTGGATCCCTTTCTTTGACTTCTCATCTTTGAAGTTATGGATCTTTGTTGCTAAATCACCTTTGGCCGAGCGAGTTAACGCTGCCGACAATTTGGTGTCAAGTGTGATAAATTTCCCAGGTTCCTGCAGCTTTTCCTCCAACTTTTCCCTAGGGGTTTTGTTGTCAAAGACTTCATTTAGCCAAAGCCAAGCCTCATCGGGTTTGTCGGAGCACGACTTCACTTCATCCCTGACATGATTACGCCAGTGACGATACGCTTCTGGGGCAGGCATGTCGTTCAGTTTGATAGTCTCTGCCTCTTTTGTTCGGGGCTTTTCACCATCTGAATCCTTTGAAGTCATTCTAGTGATGAGATCTAGCAATTGTTGACCTGAAAGACCTAAGCCTGCTTCAGCTGCTTTCTTGCCAGGGTCGCTTGCTATTACTGTAGGACTGGGCACACTATGTTCTTGGTTTGCATCATCATCATTTTGTCTTTGAACTGGCAATGGTGGCAGTTTTGGAGGGGCTGCTGATCCGGCAGGGGTTGTTGAGAACAAGTTGCTCAACCTTTCCTTGGCGTCCATGGCTAAGCTACTCATACCAGTGTTTGGCATGGGTTCTGCTCCAGCCTTGGTACTGACCGCTGATTTTGGGGTCATGTACAAATCGACATTGTTCCCGCCTTGTGAATCATCAACTTCAACGGCTCTGTCGACATTGATTTCCGGGGCGCTGTGCTTGTTGAGCTTCTCCATCAGATCCTCCACTTGTCCCTGCAATTGGAAGTTGAGTTCAGCAGCTTGGTTTTCCTGCCTACTGCATTCCTCTCTAATCTCCTGGATTACAGCTTGTTCCTCCTTCTTGAAACCTTCCATGCCATTCTTTGCATACTCCACTGTTTCGTCCACGATTCGTTTACAGTCTGCCTCGAGGCTACCTCTGAGTTCAGAAAACCTTTGTTCATACTGGGCTGTAACGTGGGCTACCTTTTGGTTGGCTCTTTGTTCAGCTTCCAGTGCAACTGCGTTTGCAGCATTCTTCAGCTTTGCGTTTGCATCGCTAAGTTCCTGTCTCAGTTTTGCTACCTCATGCTCAGTTGCCGTTTGGGACATTGAATATTCTGACACTAGGTGTTCATGTCTGCGATCAGCTTCTGCACGTTGATGGGCGATTTCGCTAAGGCAAATTCCCTCAAACTCTTGGTACAGTTGCTGGACCTTTTGTTCCATGAGATGTGTGTGCCTCTCCTCTGCCTCTTGCCTGAAAGCATCAATGTTACCTTCGTTGATGTAGGTAAGATTGTTTTGCACGAACTGGAAATAGGCTTGCACGGGCTGTGTGAAGAAACCTTCATCCACTGACATGGGCGTGGGGTTTGTCCCAGCCGGCAAGCTCTGTTGAGAACCAGTTGATGCGGATACTGTTCCGGTCGAAGGGACAAGGGCACCTCCACCTGTAGCGTCATGCGTTTTGTCCATGGCTTTAGAGACTACGGCTGATAACCTGTATTTGCAGGTTTCAGCAAGGGTTAACCTAGTTATACCCAAATGGACTGATAAACCTAAACAGGGGAAGAAACCGCTAAGCTAGCGACCCAGCGCCTTTTATACTGAGCCGCAATGCTGTCAGATACATCTATAATACAGCTATGTTTTACATGGGGTGCAAATACAGGTAGCCAGTCAGAGCTCGAATTTGGTCAAAAAATTGCTTCTCGCTGCATGGTCGGAGCGCTCTTGGAAGACGAGGTCCGCAAAACGTGTCGTGAGAGCTCCGTTTCAGATAAGAATCGTCACAAGAACTTGGATGGTCGGTGCAGCGCCGGATTTGTGTGGTCGAGTCCGGAGTTGACTCTGCGCTACTGTTTTCTCGATTTGGCGCGATTCCGCTCAGGCTATTCGGGTTTGAAAACGCATTGGCACGGCTGCGCGCATTAAAGCGAGAGTGATGCTGCGACTCTCATGGTAAGCGGGATTGCAGGTGGAGGTTGCTAAACGCATCGTAGCAGTTGCACAAAAGGTAGTTTTTCACCATAGTGCTACTCTTGGGCTATGCGGAATTGCAGCTGGACGTTGCAAAACGCATTGTGCCTGGCAGCGCGAAGAGAAGAAATTGAGCGGCGTCGAAAACCGGGTACCGATTTGGTTCTAATCCTTATATATAAGCTTTCGAGACGGCTTTCGCGGTCCTTTCGCGCGCACAGTTTGGGCATTCGCGGCGACATGTGTTTCGTAACATCTTTCGCGGTTGCTTTCGCGGAAAATTGCCCGCAAATGATGGTGCACATGCATATTAAATGCGCTTCTACTATCTATACCTGCTTTCGTGGCTCGACCTTGACGCGCTCCTTTCGCGGAGCTTTCGCGCGTGGAGTTTTTGCTTTCGGGGGGGTTCCCCACATGAACCCGAAAACTAAATCTCTCACTTCAAGGGAGGTTTTTGATGCTGCTCAATTGAGCTGCGGGAGCTACAGAAGGGGTAGCTGGGAGGCAGCTCAGAGCAGAAGTAGCCAGATAAGGGGGTGTAGCTAAGAGAAGAGGTGCATCAGCGAAGAGGTCGCTTACTGATTCAATAATTCATTGTTTCCTTGATTCGTTGCTTCGTTGATTCACATTGATTCAGTGGTTCCTTGGTTTGTTGATTCGTTGATTATCGACTCATTGGTTCATTGATTCGCTGGTCGGCTGTTTTGTTAATTCTATAGTTCATTCCTTCATGAACTCAATGACCAATGATTCATTGATTCGATGCTTTAATGAGTCATTGCTTCATTGCTTTTGCTTCATTGATTCATTGGTTCACTGTTCGTCGGCTGACTACTTTACTCACTCACTCATTCACTATTGATTTATTGATTCATTGCGTCGTTGCGTCATTATTCACTGATTCCTTGATTGGTTGATTGGCTGATTGATGGATAATGGATGAATGGGTGGATGGATGAATGGATGGGTGGATGGATGGATAGATGGATTCTCGTCTCATTGATTCATTGATTCACTGCTGCGTTCCATCATTGTTTCACTGGTTCATCGATTCAATGATTGATACATGGGTTCATAGGTTCATTGATTCATTCAATCTGCTGCGCATGGATTATTTCATGTCCTGTCATTGGCACAACAACAGCCATTTGCTCATTCGTTGATGCACTTCAAAACTTCAACATTTTGTTGCTTCTGCATCTCAAAAGCCTTCCTATAGGCCATCTTCTTCTTATAGTCATGTCCTGTGTTCGCAACTTCCGCCCCGGCGCCTGCCGCGCACTACTTTTTTTTTTCAGGTTTGTGTAGTGTTGGTTTAAGCATTACTTAGGGTTTAGTCAATGTTTATTTAGGGTTGGTGTAGGGTATATGTAGGGTTGGTTTAATGTTTCTTTAGGGTCGGTTTAGGGTTCAAACAGATTTGTTTGTGCTTTTCCCCACTGCTGTTTGCGCAATGCCTGCAACATATTGATTGCTCTATCTGTGATCTGAACGGTATTTGCAGCATTTTGGTGCTGAAGTATCTTACTTGTATTTGCGGCAGCATTTCAGGGCAAAATTCCTGCTCTCGTTTTTGCTGTTTCATATTGGATTTTGCCTTTTTTATATAATCATGATTGTTAATTATTGTCAATCGATGTTTTGTTTGTTGTCTGTACAACAGTTTCAGCACACTGCCAAGAAATCACACAAGCCCCAAGTAAAACGCAGCATTTCAAACTCAAAAGATTCCTGCTCTCGTTTTTGCTGTTTCATATTGGATTTTGCCTTTTTTATATAATCATGATTGTTAATTATTGTCAATCGATGTTTTGTTTGTTGTCTGTACAACAGTTTCAGCACACTGCCAAGAAATCACACAAGCCCCAAGCCAAAACCAAAAACTCAAAAGACAAAAGCTTCGAAGCAAAAACCCATACAAAATATTTCAAAAAAACACACAAACACCGGAAAACAAAAAAAACAAAAACACAAAAGACACAAAAGGCAAGAAGCCAGACTGTCAAGCAAAAGCTCACAAACATAAACGAGCAAACTTAAATCCAAAAAACAATGCCCTGACTCAAAATGTAAAAAGGGCAAACACGTCGGCCGCGGTTAAGCCTGTTCGGGCTCAGGCTGAAAGCATGGTACATATGAAGGTCGACCGGTAAATAGCTTATCCAATTACCGGCATGAAAGTTTGTTTTTTCTATACTGCAAGCTGCAAAATCATAGTAAACGTCCAAATTCCATTGGAAATGAAGCGGATTTGGTGGAATCAAGTGTCTTGTCTTTCTCGGAAGATGCTTCGCACGTAGCAACTTGCAGAGACTTTATCTTCTTACCCACCTCCAGCGCAATGTCGAAGGAGCTGCAGCGATCCTGCAGCAAAGACCACATTGGCATGTCACAGCATGTCCACATACCAAACAAAACACATGTCGAGCGCCCTTGCCGATCAGGTTACAGCATGCTTGTCGCATCTCGAACCACCGGACCTTTTATATCCCCGTTGGAATTAGACGGGTGACGTTGGGTTCCCAATTTGTAGACTACAATCCTGCCGCCTTAGGGTGACTTTACTACATGTTAGGGTGCCCAAGTTTTTTTTATTTACTACAATCTGCTAAATCATTGAACAAGTAGGTCTACTACAAGTTGCCTAAATCTTCTGGAAAAAATCCTAAAAACTCAACATAAAATCCTGGGACAGTTTGTAGTGACTTTACATGTAAATGATTCAGCATCCAACATAATCCTCCATTTTTTTCCGATGGCAACTTGTAGCGATATGGTTTGCTCATTCGCTCTTGGTCGAAGGAACCCTGCTCCTACTATTTTGTAGCCCCTAAAAAGCTGTCACTAAGAAAAGCAGCAAAAGGTAGTGCATATTGTCACCATGATGCATCCTTCCTTCCAAGAATGTACATGGATCAATCTCCACGCAATCTCACGGGTCAATCTCCCAGGCGCATTTTTGAGGGGTGGAACACCTTTTGGTCTCAATCCCCTCCAGGCACCACTCGAGTAGGAGAAAAAAACAACAGGCAACAAAAGAACCCTAAGAAAAAGAAAAGCACTTCACGGATAAAAGCTATATCAAATTATGTACCTGCTCTAAGAATAATGGAGCAAGGTAAAACGGCTGCAAACCCTAACCCTCCCAAGACAAACCAACATGAAGAAAACTGCTACAAAGTGGATGGGACAAGCCGAATCACTACAGAAAGCATTGCAGCAGAATCCATTCTGTGCGCAAATTTGTGTTGACAGCAGTGGTTGATAAATGAACAAGTCAGTAAAAAAATGCAGCAAGAGCCAGCCCAAGGCAGGAAAGTACTTGTTGTAAAAAGGCAGCAAAATGAAAGCGGTATCAAATTTTGTACCTGCTCTAAGAACAATGCAGCAAGATAAAACGGCTGCAAACCCTCACCTTCCCAAAACAAACCAACATGAAGAGAACTGCTACAAACTGGATGGGTACAAGTCGAATCACTACAGAAAGCATTGCAGCAGAATCATCCAATCTGTGCGCAAGTTTTTGTTGACAACCAACGCTGATAACTGCTTCAATTTACTGAGTAAATTTCCCGATTGTACGCTGCAGGTGTTGACCCTTTTTGTAGCACAATATCCACCCCGATGCTATTGCATTGTGCACTACAAATTGGTCATGAAAACATACGAAGTCTCATGTTGCTTCATGTGATATAACCATGAAAGCCACTACAAGTTGCTATTGATTTTTTTCAGTGTTTTTTCAGTAAAAAAAATCACTCGTCAAAAATCAATCAAAAATCCTTACTACAAACTGCTATCTCGATTTTTTTTGATCTCACTGCCCTACAAAACTCGACTGCTACGATTTGCTTCTGCACAATGTCACAGGGGACTAAAATCATGGGTTTAGAGGGTTTATAGTGGGCCCCAAGGCCTAGCATTCTGTAGTGGAAATTCTGACCAGGATCCTTTTATAGCCCAAAGCCTCCAAGGACAATTAAGCTTGCAACATTCCTGTTGGCGACGCAGGAAACAAGAAATGGACGGGCCGCTGGCCTTTCCCTACTCTTACACCCCATCAGGCCCCGCTCCTGACTCACACACACCCACAAACTTGGCGAAAAGTTGCAGGCGCAAACTTGAGTTTTTTTTGCAAAAGCTGATTAGTGCAGGAACAAGATCTTTCCCACAACATTCGCACTGGCAATCCGTATGCATAGGACTTATTGCACTTTGTTTCATACGAACAAGGTTGGTTGCCGGGTCCCACGCACTTTAAGACAAACCAGTGCGCGCCAAGCATCATCACCCACCACACCAGCATTGGTGACGAAAACCAAATCCAAGCGCTCACGGTTGGACAGGAAAAATTCGAATAAGCACCAAACTCCTCAGCACAGAAGTCTCTCTTAAAGATATTAAAATTTAAAAAACATAGCAATTGAATCCCTGCAATTCCCTGTGTCCCATATTTGGTGGAGTCACTTGTGAGAGGCTGCACTTCCTCGTCCAGGACCATCGCAACTCCTTTTATTCCCGATGTCAATGCGCGTGCAAAGGCACTTCCCATTGGATCATCTCCCAGTTCGGCTCCGATGTTCCACTGGTTGTTCGCCTGGGCAAAATTGTCAGCTCGATACAAAACCGTATCTTTAGATCACAGTTTTACAGCCTGTCTCGCACTTAGAAGAGTGGAACATCTTGTTTTGTCAAATATTGAGGTCCATCTATCTACAACTTTCATGAACTCCACTGCCATGTTTGTGAAACAAACATGAAACAATGGTGATGGGCTCGTGGTCTCCTCCAAGTTGCAAACGAACAAATCCAATACGCTGCATCGAACCAAGAAATGGGGCCCTCTTTTGACAGAGCATGGCACTGGATGGAACGCACGAAGTGCGAAAAGTTGGCGCCCCAGCAATGAGACCTTGTACCCAAAACGCTTGGGAGGCTTGGCGCGGCTTGGACGACGAAAACAAATCAGTTCAAAACTTTGTCAAAAGAAAAGGCCAAGCGACACAAAATAATCCAGCTGCCTGCCACCCCAAAGACTTACAAAGGAAACTCGTTTGCTTTGCGTCAATGGCCTGACTATGTTGGCAACCACAAAGTGCATATTGCGATCCAGAATGAAGCCTGACTGGGGCAAGTTGCCACACTAACTTTCTCTTAATTACAATCTGTTTCAGACTTGTTCAAGTTCGAGCATTAATATGAAACAAACCCTTTGATGGAAATATGAGGACATGTTCGATCCAGACCCCGTAGCACCGAGAATTACAACACGAGAAAACTTCGCTGGCGGGAACAGAGAGGCTCTCGAAGTGCTTCCACAAGCCGCGCAAAATCAAGACCTGCAAGCCATGGTTTCGAGGATGGGCTGAATCGGGCCCCGTCTCTTCTTTGCAATTGATCTGCTTTCGGTATTCATCCAGAGCTCGTGAAAATGGCGTCGTTCGATAAAGCCATTGGATCAGCCATGCCACCGGAAAATGTAGCAACGCAGCAACAGCAACCAAAGGAAGAGTCACAAAAACTGCTGTAACCTTAGCCAATAATTATGTATTTCCATGTCTTTCCCATGAAATGCAAAACACAAGACAGGACTTAAACTCATGAAACAAATTCCGTACACCAAAGCGGCTCTCTTTGCAAGCCAAAGCGACGAAAACATGCCCCACACCGTTTCCGGAGATGACTGCCACTCTGATGATTGCAGGTAGCATAGCTGTCACTGATACGCAGGCAGCGAGCAGGCTGAGCAGCTTTAGGAAATCAGCGGCGTGCAAAGAACCTTTGCACGAAGCACAATCAAAAGGGGGATTCATGTCTTTCAGCAACAGCTTTTTGTCTCCGGTGCTTCGAACTTTGACTGCATTGGACTTCTTCTGCTCATAGTCTAGCCATATCAACCCCGTTCCCCTTGCCCGATAACGCACCCACTGGTGCACCAAGCGAGACATGCCTTTGTGTAGATCAACAACCGGCCCTTGCACAGCAAGCATGAAAATCTTCTTGCTTTCGGCTTGTGTTGGGTCTGCCACATCTGATTTCGCATCAACAATGATCAAGGGAGCAAGCAAAATCTGCAAGGCAATGAAAGTCAACGTGACCACGGCGGCAGCACCTATGAAAAGCGTGAGACGCTCCATCTTCTTGAGCGGCAGAACGTGACAGTCATCCGTCACTCCATCAGACCAAGCCCTGAAGATTCCACACTTCGCACAGTCGCCATTCTGAAACTGGAAGTGGGGCTTGCCTCAGCTGTGGCCGGGGTTTCGAAAAAACAGCCGGTACTGCCGTGTACTACTGATCAAAGGAAGTTTAGGGGGAGAAACTTCCGTGTTACGGACTTTTAGAATGTCAGGGAAAGAGTTAGTCAAAGAAAGAGTTAGTGAGGGAAAGAGTTAGTCAAAGAAAGAGTTCGTCAAAGAAAAAGTTAGTCAAACCAAGAGTTAGTGAGGGAAAGAGTTAGTCAAAGAAAGAGTTAGTGAGGGAAAGAGTTAGTGAAAGAAAGAGTTAGTCAAAGAAAGAGTTAGTCAGGGAAAGAGTTAGTGAGGGAAAGAGTTAGTGAGGGAAAGAGTTAGCAAAGAAACAGTTAGTGAGGGAAAGAGTTAGTCAAAGAAAGAGTTAGTGAGGGAAAGAGTTAGTCAAAGAAAGAGTTAGTCAAAGAAAGAGTTAGCAAAGAAAGAGTTAGTCAGGGAAAGAGTTAGCAAAGAAACAGTTAGTGAGGGAAAGAGTTAGTCAAAGAAAGAGTTCGTGAGGGAAAGAGTTAGTCAAAGAAAGAGTTAGCAAAGAAAGAGTTAGTCAGGGCAAGAGTTAGTGAGGGAAAGAGTTAGCAAAGAAACAGTTAGTCAGGGAAAGAGTTAGTCAAACCAAGAGTTAGTGAGGGAAAGAGTTAGTCAAAGAAAGAGTTAGTGAGGGAAAGAGTTAGTCAAAGAAAGAGTTAGCAAAGAAAGAGTTCGTCAGGGAAAGAGTTAGTCAAAGAAAGAGTTAGTCACAGAAAGAGTGAAAGAGTTAGTCAAAGAAAGAGTTAGTGAGGGAAAGAGTTAGTCAAAGAAAGAGTTAGCAAAGAAAGAGTTCGTCAGGGAAAGAGTTGGTCAAAGAAAGAGTTATAGTCAAAGAAACAGTTAGTCAGGGAAAGAGTTAGTCAAAGAAAGAGTTAGTCAGGATATATGAGGTAGTCAAAGAAAGAGTTAGCAAAGAAACAAGTTAGTCAAAAAAAAGAGTTAGTGAGGGAAAGAGTTAGTCACAGAAAGAGTTAGCAAAGAAATTGTTCCCTCACTGTAAATGGGATTGCAAGTGGTGCTGGTGGAGGAGTGGCCGATGGAGTTTTGGAGGAAGTCTCGCACGAAATGCGTTTTTGAGAGATAGCAGATGCACGAAACCCTATGTTTTTCCATACAAAGTGTGTCCACGAACTTCGATGATCTACCTCTGCTGTGCGACGGGTGCGAGACGGTCTCGTGTGTGGTCGGATCATCCTCGGATCATCCTCGGATCATGGTCGGATCGGTCTCGGATCGGTTCCGCATTGTAAATGGGGTGTCAACTGTGTTTCGTGCATGTGCGGTCGACAGAATTCCATTGTGATTTGCAACTGTAGGATCGTTCCCGCAATGTAAATGGGATTGCAAGTGGTGCTGGTGGATGAGTTGCCGATGGAATTCCATTGTGATTTGCAACTCTAGGATCGTTCCCTCACTGTAAATGGCATTGCAAGTGGTGCTGGTGGAGGAGTTGCCGATGGAGTTTTGGAGGAAGTCTCGCACGAAATGCGTTTTTGAGAGATAGCAGATGCACGAAAGCCTATGTTTTTCCATACAATGTGCGTCCCCGAACGTCGATGATCTACCTCTGCTGTGCGACGGGTGCGAGACGGTCTCGTGTGTGGTCGGATCATCCTCGGATCATCCTCGGATCGGTTCCGCATTGTAAATGGGGTGTCAACTGTTTTTCGTGCATGTGTGGTCGACAGACTCCATTGTGATTTGCAACTGTAGGATCGTTCCCGCATTGTAAATGGGGTTGCAAGTGGTGCTGGTGGATGAGTTGCTGATGGAACTCCATTGTGATTTGCAACTCTAGGATCGTTCCCTCACTGTAAATGGCATTGCAAGTGGTGCTGGTGGAAGAGTTGCCGATGGAGTTTTGGAGGAAGTCTCGCACGAAATGCGTTTTTGAGAGATAGCAGATGCACGAAAGCCTATGTTTTTCCATACAATGTGCGTCCCCGAACGTCGATGATCTACCTCTGCTGTGCGACGGGTGCGAGACGGTCTCGTGTGTGGTCGGATCATCCTCGGATCATCCTCGGATCATGCTCGGATCGGTTCCGCATTGTAAATGGGGTTTCAACTGTTTTTCGTGCATGTGTGGTCGACAGAATTCCATTGTGATTTGCAACTGTAGGATCGTTCCCGCATTGTAAATGGGGTTGCAAGTGGTGCTGGTGGATGAGTTGCTGATGGAATTCCATTGTGATTTGCAACTCTAGGATCGTTCCCACTCTAGGATCGTTCCCTCACTGTAAATGGGATTGCAAATGGTGCTGGTGGAGGAGTTGCCGATGGAATTCCATTGTGCTTTGCAACTGTAGGATCGTTCCCGCAGTGTCAATGGCTGCGTCAAGGTTGCTTCGTGCTGTGGCTGCATTGGTAATACTATTGTCTTTTGCAGCTGGATCTCGTAAATCGTATTGGAGTGGCTGCATGAAGGCTGCCACAGTGATTTGTCAGCAGATTTTCTCCATTTTGGCGCTAATGATTTTCCTTCTAAAAATCCTTTTAAAAAGTGCTTCAAAATCGTCTTTTTTTCGCTCTGGCGTCGGGATCCGGTTTTGGAGCTACCATTTCCGACGCCGTTGCGCGTAGTTCTATTGTGTTTTGGAGCTCAATCTCTGCAGATCGCATTGTAATGGCTGCGTCAAGGTTGCTTCGTGCTGTGGCTGCATTCGTAATACTATTGTCTTTTGCAGCTGGACTTCGTAAATCGTATTGGAGTGGCTGTATGTGCCACAGTGATTTGTCAGCAGATTTTCTCCATTTTGGCGTCAGTGATTTTCCTTCTAAAAATCCTTTTAAAAAGTGCTTCAAAATCGTCTTTTTTTCGCTCTGGCGTCGAGATCCATCCGGTTTTGGAGCTACAATTTCCGACGCCGTTGCGCGTAGGTCTATTGCGTTTTGCAACTGAGTCTCTGCAGATCGCATTGCAATGGCTGCGTCAAGGTTGCTTCGTGCTGTGGCTGCATTCGTAATACTATTGTCTTTTGCAGTTGGACTTCGTAAATCGTATTGGAGTGGCTGTATGTGCCACAGTGATTTGTCAGCAGATTTTCTCCATTTTGGCGTCAGTGATTTTCCTTCTAAAAATCCTTTTAAAAAGTGCTTCAAAATCGTCTTGCACAACAACAGTACGTGGTTGGACGACAAAGAATCGGACGACGAAGTTCTCCGCAGACAATACCGTCATCTCTGGGAAGCTGTGCGGTCCTTTCAACCAGAGTTTGTTGATGCTGAGATGAAGCGCAGACAAGGTCTTGCCGCAGAGGTTTCAACTCTCGTTTGACTGCCGAGGGCTGGGTGTGCGTTGTTATGAACCGCATCCGGGTGTGAATTGCTGTGCTTCAGTAGCTTCGCCTTTCATTTGACCTTGCGAACCGCAGAATGCCTCTGTCACTTGGTTTTGGTTTCTGTGTGCGTTGTTACGAACCGCACAAAAAAACATGATCGTATTGCATACCAGGGGAAAAAACATGCTGTCGTGGGAGCGGGCAAATGCAAGGTCCCACTAAGATCCGCTCAATGCTTTATGCAGCATGGGTTGGATTTTTGTAGTTTGTTGAAAGTATGATTTTCTGGACCATTTCCTTTTCCAGACATCAGACCTCAAGCTGGGTGAGATGGTATGTTTCGTGTTTATTTGACCTCTGTTGAATGAGATGGTTGGTTGGGGATCTACAATTTGGATGAGGAAGTGCGTTTCGTATTTCTTGGACCCTAGTTGGTACGTGTAATTGTTTCTTTACTTCGACTATGGGGAATTTCGATCTGTTATATTCACCCTATGATGTTGTCTGGTAGCGGTTGTGTAGTTTCAGCTCTGCAACATTGCCGCTGCCGTTTGTGTCGGTCATGCATATGTGATCAAATCTATCAGCAAGAATCCACAGCCATTGGAAGTGACTGTTTGTTCATGAGGAAGTGACAGTTGAGATGTGGACATGATGTAATTATAAACATGCATGCACTTATAAACATGCATGTGATCATAAACATGATGTCACATTTCAGTGGCAAACTAGGTAATACATCTCGCATGACTTCACACACTAATGCATGAAAAATAAAACGCACATGAACACATATATCTACACAACATTGCATCCATAGAAATGTAACATACCTTAAAACCACCAAACATCATAGTTATGGAGTCCTGGGCCTTCCCTGGAAACCTCTGACATTAGGAAACTCTTGAACTAGCAAGCAGGTTGTGTATACACACGTGTGTATATATATATGTGAATTTTGGAAATAAGGGAGCTAAATTTAAAAACAACTAAGTCAAACTTGAATATGTTGGTGGGTTTTGCATTTGTTTTGTGAGATACCCAGGGTAAATGGGGAATGCCAAGATGATGGGAAAATACTCTACCCTCCCCAAGGACCCCCTTACAATTTATGTTCGTATGAAAAAAGAACGATTTGCTATGCAAAAATCCTGGGTTCCAGGATTCACCCATTGCCATGTCAAGGACATGCAAAATTGCATTAAAGGCCCCCTTAGAAGCCTCACACAGTGCATTAGCAGGTTAATTTTGTTTTGGTAAACTACTTCCTGTAGCAATAGTAAAACAAATCCTGGTTTGGCAAATAGTCTCAATCAAAACTATGTTTTTCTTTTAGTCAGTGTTCATTCTCCTGTGTCCTGGACACCTCGCTTGCTCACAGGAGCCTGCATCTCAGTTTTTAAGTATCTACTGCACAATTGGAAAAGGAATGATGCATTCAATTACGTTTTAACTCTCGTGCACTCACTTGCATTTGAAGTTCTTAATTTGCAGAATGGAGAAACTGTTTGAATAAAGTGTCCAGTCATTTCAAGAGGTTCCTTCTGTACATTTTGAGGGAAGGGGAGCGGGCAGAGTCATTGCTTGAGCACAGGAGCATGGTCCTCAGTTTTGTATTGTTCAGCTTCGGGTTTTTAATCTAAAAACAATTTGTTCACCAAGAGTGCATTCAACTGTGCATGAGATCA